AAAACTCCCTTCCTTCTGTAACCACCTTCATCTGACCAGGACACAACAAAACCTTGCTCTCTTTGTGGCACAGGCATTGGGTTAAGTTATGTAGTATTACTACATAAATCTCATATTTTCACATATGCGCCTGTCCTAGTTCATTCACCCAGAAATTAGAGTGGAACACAGGAAATCTGCCCAACCCATATCCCATAATTTACTGCTGTCTGGAATGTTAAGCAGGACTTGCTCAAGACTCTCCAGGCCAAGGTGAGAATAAATAATGTAGGCAGGTGATAAGGAAAAACTCCGTGTTCCTCTCAAATCATGTCTTATAAACTGGACCATCGTGGCTTACCTTTGTAACGACACACCACACAGGAAACTTTGGTCCCTGAAGCACTCAGCCCCAACTTTATGCAAACACACACTCCTCATGCTGTAAGAGGCCATGGAATTGGCAGCTGCTTTGATACAGCTCTTGCTTCAGCAGAGCCATGCCGGACTGCTATTAGAGAATGTTAAAATCAAACCAGGCTCAAGGAGTTTCCTCTACTAACTAAAAAGCTTCCTAACCTAACTAACCTAAAAGCTTCCCTTTTAAGAAGCTAAGACTTTACGTATGTCCATGTGCTTTTAAATCCCACTGAAAAATAGAGAACCTCACAGTAAAAAACCTTTCAGTTATTATTTTTTTCAAAGTTGTTGTTTCTGTGTTAAAAGAAATTGAAAGCTGGTCATCATCATACTAATAACTAAAAAAACAAAAAACAAACAAACAAAAAACCAACCCCAAAAACATAAAATCATTTAACTCATTATAACTCCTCATCTCATTAGAAATGGGTCATTAATAAAGCAAGTCACCTCCAACCAGCCTGCTTCCCATTCAATGGCAAGAACAAGAGCGGATCAGGATCCTCTACTGAAGGCAAGCCCCAGCTTTTCTTGAAAGGGCAACTTGAAAAGTTCTGCAACCTCTCCCTGTGCTCTTCAGTGCAGAGATGGGTGCACAGCACAGCTGGGTTACCCAGTTTGTTCAAAAAAATGAATGCACTAAGAGTGCAGCCCCTTTACACACCAACCACGGCTGGAACTGCACTATGATGCATTCAGTAAACCTTATACATTCACAGCATCTTTTTACTAGACAGCAAATAACTCCTAAAGAATATTGCCCTGATCTGAACAGCCCCATTGATTAAAACAACAACATGTCTTACAGTATCATGTGCACAGATGTTTTTCTGTAGTTACTAGTGGCTTCTCATTTTGAGGCTATACAATTCATGACATTATTGTTACAATATTAATAGATGTGAATATTTTTGAGAGCCTTACCTCATATCTCTGTCACCATTTCAAATACTTACCATTAAACACAGCACCAAACAGAACCAGTCTTTGTCTGCTGATCTGCAGCCCAGGAAATGGCGCACCAGGCCGCAAGCACACACTGCTGCCTCATGTCCAGCTTTTAATCTACCAGGAGCCCTAAGAACTTCTCAGGGCTACCGAGTGTAGATAATCTCTATTTTTGTTTATTTTTTAAACAGAATCAATGGGGAAAAAAAAATCGATTTAGTGTTGCAGCTTTATTTGAAAGTGACCTCAAGTTTTGATAGTACAGACTTTTGTACAAAATTGGCACTGCAAAAAATAAACTTAGAGCTTTCCTACAGCAGATTACATGCTGCAAGCTCATAATCAAATGAATCTACACAGAAAAAGATAATCTGCTCAACGTCTTCTTTTCAGATCAGCATCAAGTGATCCTGAAAATCCAGCTGTACTCTATGTGCCAGGAAAAAAGAAAAACAAGAAAAAAAAATCAAAAAGCCCCCCTCAACCTCACTTAATGGGAAAGGCATCTTACTGCAGTTCTGCAGTTCCAATGTACAGTAACAGTTGTGACTAACTCTATATTAGAAACATGTCAAGATTTCCAATATTATCTGATATTCCATGAAAAAAGGTAAAGTTTTACATACTAAAGATTTTAAAGACCTTTGGGAAGTCAAGGTATTTGGACAAGGCTTTATGAATTGCAGTTTCCAAAGAACTCAGAAGTCCATCCAAAAAGAAAAAAAAAATAATCCATCAGCCTTTAACAGTTTCTTCCAAACCCAGTTCATTTCAGCAGTTCATTTCACTTTTTTTTTTCCTGATGCAGTATTACAGTATCCCATCACATTAACTTGCAGTATTAATCACAGTATGATAGAATGGCTTGGGTTGGGAACTCAGTCTGGTCCCAACCCCTGCAGTAGCATGGTGGCCCCAACCAATTCAGGCTGCCCAGGGCCCCACCCAGCCCAGCCTTGCTCACCTGTAGGGAAGGGGCACCCACAGCTCTCTGGACAATTTGGGCCATTTCCTCATCACCTCTGAGTATGGAATTCTTGCCTAACATATTTATTCCCCCTTGCCCTAAGATCTAGAGGAAAAAAAAAAAATACAAGAAGAGTCCCACAGTTCTTTCACCAGTCTTACCACGTACTCCACATAAAGTAAAGCTTCTCCAAAGCTAATTTTTTAAAATTATTATTAACTTTATTTGCCATCAGGTTTCTCAAACAGAAAATCTACTCTGAGAACAAGCTTTCTCACTATACAGATAATTCCTCATACTGACTGTGACTAGGGCAAGGAAGGAGTGGGGAAGGGATTAACTGCAAAGCTTGGCTCCGTGCTACCCTTGCAGACACAGGGAAGATACTGTTCCCCAAATATTAAGGCTATGGAGTGTTACCAGACTGGAGTAAAACAGTACTACTCCAACCACGAAAATAACTAGTACTGTAATTCCTGCACTTCATGCCTCACAAAGCAAGATGGTTCTGAACCATACAGTGTCATACAACAGCAGTATACTCTGAAGAACACTGCAAGGTCTGACTTCTCCCATCTGCTAGGTTTGCTTCCCATTTTTATGATTCCTGGGCTCAATCTGGCTTGCTTTATTGTGCCCTTCAAAGATGTGTGCTTACTCAGAAAGGAAAAGCTAACTCAGAAAGTGTAAAAGGCTGCTAATTCACCAAACTCAAAGTCTGCAACTTTAAGACTACTCTGGAAATTGGAATTTCATTCCTCTTTTGGGCACATTGACTTTTCCTTCAGTCTCTGAACCATACACAAACCTAGCTTTAAGACCTCCCTCTGCCTTGTGATACTAACATAAACAAAATCCAGTGACAGAATAATCAAGTTTTTGCCAGGGAAAAAAAAAGAAGCACCATTCTGTCAAACCTTTGATTCTTTCAGTAGATTTGCAGCAGCATTCTGAGACCAAAGTCTCATGCATACTATTGCTTAAAACCTTGCTCCCAGGTCCTGTGTATTAGTGTGCTTGGCAATGTTTTGCATCCTGGTACTCAAAGAGAAGAGAAATAGAATATACTATGTGATTACAGGAACACTGATACTAGCTCCTGTAAATTTCTATTTACATGAACTTGTGTGCAAAAGATCTACTCTGTGCCTCACGACATTTACAATTGGCATTTAGTTCTCCCCTGAGGCCGATGAGTCATTCACTATTCACTGGCATTGAACAGTTTTACCATAGCCACCTCTTCCAGCATCATAGTCTTGCCGATACTCATCTCTGACCTTACAAAGGAGAAAAAAACAAAAAACGAAAAGTCTGGTAAATATATACAGAAAGGTATTTTAGCAAGAGCTTCTACACCATCAGATTATATGGTCAAACTGAGTCTGCACAAAAGTTATCTGACAAAAGAGAAGGAAAAGTGCATCATGCACAAACCCAGAATGCCAGGTCAAATACCTCTCCTGTTAAATGGTCCCTTTGGGCACTATCAATCAAGACAGACTGGCCATCATCACTGTCTCATTTTTCAGCAGTAAAACTACCTGCTACCCACCCGACTTTTGGTGAGCTGAGCGTTCTCTTTTGTGTTTTTGTCAGCTTTACATTTCCTGGGTTTATTTATATGAATTACCTCCCCAAACAATCATCAGGCTTCTGAAAATACTTTCAGTGAAATATATGAACAAAATAATTATCCTCAGCAGATAACACCACTGATAAAACACTTAGGGATTAACGTATATTATGATCTTCAACATCTCTGAAGTTGCTGTTCCTTAAGTTGTTCTGGGTGCGTCCATTCAAAAAGCAATAAGCTGACAGTCACCAGCCCCTCAGAAAGCAGACAACCTACCTGGCCCCCTGACCTCCCCCGGCCGTACTGCCGGCCCTCCTTAAATCCTGCATCCCAGTCCGTCCTTATGATCCTGTCGTCAAGCCTGGTCCCATTGATGTACCGCATTGCGTTCTCAGCATCTCCCCTTGCGTAATACCTCAGGAATTTGTTAAAGAAAACCGTGCACGGATCTGCCAGGCCTGAGAGCTCAGAGAGAACACAGAGCGATAGCAGGACAACACCCGGACCCACAGAGGCCGTGCATCGCAGGGAAGCACGAGACCAACAAAAGCCCAAGAGAAATGTTTTACTGCCCAGGCCCAGCGCCAGAACGCGGCCGGCAGAAGGATACTCGACGAAGCAGAAGCCGCAGGCGGTCTTCTTCACCTTGTCCAGCCCCATGATGATCTTCTTGATGTCGCCGCTCTTGCCGAACAGCTCGTGGATCTGCTCCTCCGTGGTGTAGAACGAGAGGTTCCCCACGTACAGCGTGCAGCTCTTCCTCAGCAGCCTTTCCTGGTCGTACCGCGTGCCCTAAGCGCAACCACAGCGTTACCCGGCGGCACACGGACCGGGATCGAGACCGGCACCGGGACCCCCGCGGCTCTTACCCGGAAGTGCTGGTCGCGGTACTGGCTGAGGTCCACGTAGGAGTCGCTGCGCAGGATGCTCAGCGTGCCGCCCGAGCACATGCTGCCGGCCCGCACCGCAGCCGCGCAACACGGCGCCCCCGCTTCCGCCGCCAATGGCGGGACGCGACGTCGCTCTCGCGAGAGCCGGTCCCTCCCGCTCGGCGGCTCTCGCGAGAACGCTCGGGTCGCGCCGACTCTCGCGGGAGCGGCGCGCAGGATGGTGCTGCGGCGGGTGCTGCTGGCGCTGCTCAGCAACCCGCACCTCATCGAGAAGCTCTCCGAGTCGCGGCCCATCCGCGCCGCCGCCCGCCTCACCGCCAGCGCCATCACCCGAGGGCAGCTGGGCGCCCGCCGGGCGGCGAGGGACCTGCAGCCCGGCCTGACCCGCCTGCGGGACGCCTTCCTGGGGCGGCTGAAGGACGACGGCCGGCCGCGGGGCTGGCCGGAATCCCCCGGAAGGGGATCGGGACCGGGACGGGGACCGGGACGGAGCAGCCGGCCCTGAGCGGCGGGAGGAGGCGGCCGTGCGGGGCGTGCGCGTGGCCGGGCCCATGGAGACGGTTCGGCGGTGACGGCCGGAGCGCGGCGACGGCACCGAACGGAGCGGGGGGACCCGAGGAGCGGCACGAAGGCGGCCACGGAGCGCTGCGGTGGAGCCGGTCACCGTGTCTGTCACCGTGTCACCATCACTTCGTACTGTGCACGGCGCTCAGCTACAAGCAGCGGGCAGGCTTACATCGAGCGTCATCCAGAATACTGTGAAGATTGTCACTGCGTGATGTGAACCCTCAAATAAAGCCATTTCTCACCAGAGGTCCTGTAACGATTCCTATCCGTGCAGCAGCGGTAGTCTACATAGTCTGTGCTTGTATGGCAGCTTGGAGACAAAGAGACAAAGCTCTAGTGATGATGATGATGGGTAGAATGGAAGAAATGTATCCATTGTCCTGATAGGCTGGGCTGCTTTGCTTTCAGTACTGTATGAACATCCACGAGACTTAAACAGCTTTGCCACATACCTCGGGGTGCAGCTGACTGCATGCTGAGGTAACCCAGGAGGAAGACTGCCATAGTTGGTATCACTGCACGTTAAAGGGGAGCCTCCCTATGAGACAGAATCCTACAATGGCATAGGTTGAAAAGGAGCACAGTGATCATCTAGTTTCAAATCCCTGCTATGTGCAGGGTCGCCAACCACCAGACCAGGCTGCTCAGAGCCACATCCAGCCTGGCCTTGCATCCAGGGATGGGGCGTCCACAATCTCCTCGGGCAAGATACGTGGCTTCCAGTTCTGCTGGTAAAATTAAACTGAAAAATTGAATCTATGATGTACTCAATAAAAGTCCATCTGATGAGACAGAAGCAGTGCATTTTCAATCTGAGTCAGTATTTGTAGTCTGGGGTCTCTGCCTGGCTCTGCTCCAGGTGACCTGTGAGTGGTACACATTTATGATTGTTGGTTGGTGCTTCATCACGACCAGGAAGAGTTTCAAGATCTACCCCATTTGTACAGGGATCATAAGTTCAACAGTTAACATAAGTTCATAAGATCATAAGTTTCAAAATAGTTATGAAACTTTATAGCTGTTTAAGAATAGCTGAAAACAGTAAGCAGGACACGGAATACAAATTCTGGCACAATACTGTTGTCCCAACTTAAAAGAGCAAAAAAAGAAATAGAGTATACATTTGTGATGCTTTTGTAATTCCTTCTGCTACTGGATGAGCCATTGGTACAGCTGCTCTGCTGCTACCCCACCAGAAAGCATGCACCCTCAGTATGCAGGTATTGGCAATGAGGGATGGAGGGGTTCATGGTGAGCACACAGTGGAGACTTACCGTGCAAAATGCTTCTTGAGAAGGCAAAATTTTAGGATTTAGCATAAATGCCTGTGCTGAAGCATCTTCCGCGTTCTAAATCTGCTTCTGTTACATCAATACTGGGGATTTTTCAGGGCAGAAATACCTCAAACAATATTTGTAACACTGGTGTCCATATCGTGTATAGGGACAGAGAGGAGGGTCCGAAATGTCAAGAGCATGAAGGTAAAACCATATTGAATCAGATGAAGTCTTCCTAGTCTAGTAACCTCTCTCCAGCAGATGAGCTAAACGCCTCATTTCAGTAGCACAGCCCACAAACCTTCCATCTGAGATTATACAAACTTCTCATGTGTATCTCACACGAAAAGAACGAAGCTCAAATCCGTTTCTGTGGTCTCTGGGTTCATCTTCTCTCATCAGGAAAATGAGTCAAGCTTCTCAGGAACACCACAGGGACTGAATGATTCACATCTTGGTAGAGGCAGCTATGCTGAGCATGAAGAAAGGGGGAGAATTGAGCTCACAACAGCACTGCCTGTGCTGAGCACAGGATTTTGAAGAGGAAGGTCTGACAGCACATTTGGGCAGCGTCAAAGTGAAAACCTAAAACATTCTGAGATCTAAAGTCTCTGCTGAGCTCTGCCTATCTGAAGGATGTATAGTCCTAACTGACTTCTCCAGTTTTCACTGAATAGGAAGGATAGCTGTGGTGGATCTTCCATTGATAAGTGTGGAAATATCAAAGTCTCATTCTTGAGCGAGACCCCACATTTGGCAATTGTGGCTCTGACTGTACCGGGGATTATAACCAAAAAGTGACAGTCACTGCAGGTACAATTGTTTGCGTGCTGTCCTACCATTTGGCAGAGGGTTTCCTCTTCAGACCCAGCCATATCAATCACTTCTACGTGTGTGTCTTTCTTCTTGATATTTAGCAGAGACCTAGGAGGCATGTAGGTGTGAGCAAAGAGCAGAGTATAGTGTCTTGGATGGTTTGAGGAGTCTGAAGAATGCAAGATGTGCTCCAAGTGAAAAAAGCATGGTATCAGTCCCCCCTGGTGCAGGCATCCAAACAGGAAAGCCCCGAGAACATTAAAAATGATAATGATGGGTTTCCACTTCACAGCTCTATTCTGTGATGCGCTGAACAGGACTAATGGCAAGATGAGAGGGATGAGAAATCGAGGCTCTTGGTGGCTGAAGAGGGAGAGAAGTGCCAAAGGAACAAAATAAAACAGCAGCAGTGTTGGCTGGCCCTCGGAATGCACCGATAACCTGGGTGGCCCACGGTAATACAATCCGACCCGCATTAACTGCTGGATGTATTTCTTTAGCATTTTAAACCCAGCATCGATGGCCAGAAGGTGTAAGATCCCAAAGAGCATGACTCCATTAACTATAAAATGTGTAACTCGTGGGTGACTTCCATGCTGTGCAAGGTTACGAGAATCAAGATTATAGCAGAGGAAGTTGAAAGGGGTCACCACCACTCTGTGATTTAACAGAGCTATGACATCGAACAGGCTGCTGTTTGTAAAGCTGAAAAGGCTGTCCAAGCCCACTGAGGTAAAATACATGGTGTCAGCTGCTATGAAGACAACGGCAGTAAAACATGCACAGGTGGTAAGTTTTAAAAAAGGGTTTATGAGAGTTTTAATGCTCTTTTGAGAGTCAGCATTTAAACCTGCCCAGTAGAGCAGGGGCATTAGTGCAAATGCCGGAAAAGTTGGCCTGTTGAAAAACCCTGCAGCTATTACAGCACCTATCAGAGGGCTGCATGCAGGTTTTGTGATGCGGCTGTCAGATTTTTTGGATGAAACCAAAACCAGCAGAAGTGCAAAGAGAAATCCTTCAAGTGTGTTGGTGAACGTTCTGGTGTAAAACACCAAAGTGACATACGATCCTGCAAGGAGGAGCAGTGCTTCCCACGGATCCGCTCCCCAGGCAGGAGCCAATCGGTGCACGCTGTAGTCAAGTACAAAAGAAAAGACCGTAAGGAGAAAGCGAGGAGACACGAGAAGGGTATAGCTGCTGACACAACGCGAGCACACATCCAGCTGCTGCAACGCCTTCAGCACCCAGTAGGCAACTCCAGAGGTCAGTAATGGGAAAACAGCTGTTCTGCAGGGAGAGCTGGAAAGGAATTCCCAGGGATAATGGACCCGTAGGTTTAAAACGTCTCCTACGAAGGAAAAAAAAAAAAAAAAGAAAGAAAAAGTAGACATATCTATTTTATTCAGTACTTCAGCGTCGGGGTACAACTCGGTGCCAAGAAGCATTGCGCTACACGGCCGCCCCCAGAGCACCGAGCCCGCCGGCAGCCTTCAGCTCGCCCTCCGTTCTCGCCCTCTCCCGGCGCCGCCACTCGGGCAGCGCTGCCGCGGGGACGGGACGCGGCCAGGAGCCGCCTGCGGGCGGAGCCGCGCTGAGGACACGAGCTCTGCCGGCGGCGGCTCTCGGGGAGCAGCGCGCCTCGGCCCCTCCCGCCCTCCCGCCGCGTTACCTGCCATGACCTCGGGCGACTGGAAGAACTCGTCGGGATGCAGGTAGCCGGCCTGCGGCAGCAGGCACCACCCCGCCCGCAGCGCAGCCAGAAGCGCCCACAGCCGCCGCGCCGCCATGTCGGCCCCGCACCGCAGGCCGCGAGGGGGCGCACGACGCCGGCCGGAGCGCCGCAGAGCGCGCCCAGTGCGCAGGCGCGGAATGCCTGGAGTCACGCAGCTGACGCCGCAGTGCAACGCGGTGCTTTTACACGCGTACAGACGGCAGCGTGTGCTGACTTCTCTTGTTTATTTCTCAGGTTACATTTATTTACAGTATGCTTTTATATATATATATATTTTTATTACGCTGAATCTCTTTACATCCCGGGATCATGAGGTGGCAGCTGTGGTCAGGAGGATGCTGCCTGCCAGCAGCATAGCAGCACGTGTTGTTAGTGCAGCTATGGATAAGAATAAAAACTGAGTGCTACAAGTCACTTGCCATGGAAGCAGGTAATCAGCAGTGAGCTACTTTGTTTCACTAACAGAAAACAGAAGTGTTGCTGACAGGCACTCAAATAACCCCCCGTAGAAGGAGGACAGCCACATTTCCTGGTGGAAACGGCAGCAAAGATTTCAAGGGAAAAGGACATGTCTCTGAAGCAGTGAGCATACTGGTTGTGGGAAGTCAAGGAGCTCAGTGGATGAACACTTTGGACTTCATCCTTTCTCCTCTGCCAGCAGGCAGTCCCTCCAAGTCTCTCTGGCTTTCCTTTTCCTCCAGTGACTTTGGAGATTCCCCCTGCTTTCTTCTACTGGGAGGTTGAGGACCTTGCAGATGGCAGGGGTGGTACTCTGGACTACAGGTGCTCTCTCAGTCCATGGCCTGTCCATCCTCTGTGCACTTACCTCTTCTGGCAGCAGAGCTCAGGAGAAACTGTTGCCTCCAGCAAGGTGAGGATAGGATAAGCAGGGATGAAGGAGTCATAACATTACCAGCAAGGAGGCCAGAGTGGATCTCTAGACAAGACTTTAATACTGCCTTCCAAGATGCAGAAATTTTCTACAGATCAAAAACCCAGTATCTATCTAACAGCACTTGGCAGTCCTTCAGCCCAGCATCATTCAACATCAGCAATGATGACAGAAGTACTTCAATTTGGACTGATCTTGTAAGCCATGTTGGCACAGTGCTGATGGTTTCTGCCTCAAATTCCACCCCATCCACATGAACAGTGGCAGCTTCCAGTTCCACCCCACTTCCCAATGAGCAAATGGTATAAGCACCTTGCCTGCAAAGTGGCAGGAAGAGGCTTTAAAATGTTAGCACAACATATTATCCAGACAGCAGCTCATCTGAAGAAAAGTTGCTAGGCCAGGAGTGGCCTGGAAGTTGCCATTTAGACCAAGTTAGCCCAGGCCCTGTAACTGACCTAAAATAATGAAGGGAACAAAAGTAATGACTAGTAGGTGTTGCTGTATTAACTTATTACCTGCCCCAGAGCACTGTGGTGTTTGCATCCCTTCAAGGGACTCAACATATTCACTCCCCAGCCATTCTGCATATGTCCTCCTCTCTTCTACTGGCACTATCTTCTCTGCAGAATCCGTAAAGATCAAGTCTTTTCCTTGAAAAGCTGAAGAATCAAACATTTTGAATCCATTTCTGTTGCTGTTATTTCCAAAATAGTCCTGAAGACAATGCAAAATATTCAGTATCAGCAAGATTAAGTGCCACATTTTTGTAGTATAACACGAATTGTTCAGTACAGAAGAAGTTCACACAACTGGAAACCCTGCAATCATTTTAAGACACTCCAGTAGATAACATACAGACTCCTGCCATTGGCAATTACAAGAGTTTTGGTTCTTGTTACTATCTGGAAAGACCTGTACTTCCATTAAGTTCTTCTGTGTAAGCATTATTGTGCAATACAGGTTTTGGCTGCACAGGAGTTAAGGAAATGACTGAAGCATAGCACGGAAATGCTCAGTATTGCTTTTAAAACTAGATTCCCATCAATACTGAAGCTAAATGCCTGCGGCAGCCTGGCATGGTCAGCCTAGACACATAACTGACCACCAGAATAAATGTACAGTTATTACCTGAGCTTTGTCCAGTAGTCCATACAGAGCAAAAATGTTGGTGTCTGGGTGAACCATAATGGCCTGAGCTGGCACCCGAGCCAGGTGACATTGAGCAAACTGAGTGACTTCAGCACGGGCCCCATTCCGGCACAGTAACTGGAAATCGCTGGACTTCAAGTCACGGGCCCAACTTTCAGTGTTCTTACCTAAAAGAAGAAACTAGTCACTGTCACTTATTGCATGCTTTAGAGCTAAAAGGTTCAAGAAAAATAACTCAATTGTAATAAAGAGTCAAGTAAAACTAAATACCATCTGTGTTCTCAAACACTGTTGAGTGCTTCACAAAGGCCACATCCCCAGCGTCCTCTGCCAGGCACCTTTATGAAATGCGAGATAGAAGTTCAATTTAGAGCATCTTTATTGGGACCACATCATTTCTAATAACTGACAGATTTAGAAATCAACCTTTCTTGCATACTTTCCTCCAAATAAATCCATTGGACCCCAAAGTAAAGAGAAGAAGCAAACCAAGAAAGGAAGCATCTTGAAATGAGAGAAAAACCAACATCACTGCAAAGTTTAAATAATACTTCAAGAATTTCAAAATAATACTTCAAGAATTTCAAGAGAGTAATAGAGCAGGAAATAGTAACAATGGGAGAAAGGACAGAGAAAGGTCAACATTAGATAAGCGAAGAAGCAGAGGATAAATGATACTCAGTGCTCTGCTCCTATTTGGTAACAACACTTTCACACCTTTTAAAACACATACTAAGTATATGCCATTAAGACTCCTTGAGTGCATAAGTGTTTACCAGGTTCTGCATATGTGTGCAAACACAAGCACTTTCATGGTGTTTTTTTTTCCAGGTTGGAGTGATCTTACTGCATACACAGATGCTGCTTTACAGCCCTCTACACTGAAGGCACACAGCTAAAATAACTGCAGTTTCTAACAGTATGTTCCTCAACTAGGTTCTGTTTCCCTAATTTCCTGAAGCAGAAGAGGCCTCATTTGCCAAGGGCATCCAAAACTTTCCTCCTTCTTCTATGAGTGTGGCATCCCATGCCAGTGAGTTTCAGGATGAATATGCAGAACAGCACAGCTTTACAATCATTTGCTGTTTCCCATGTTGTAACTGATGCTGTCCTGCACACAATACAGCAGTCATTACAGTCTGTGAAAAGACTTGCATGAGGCTTGAAATATGAAGTCAGCACTTGAGTATTTATCAGGCAGCTGCTGTTCAAGGTTCTCCTCTGAAGGAAGATGGCCACTCACTGCCAGCTCTGTTGCAGGCACCTTTAAAGATGAAGGCCAGGAAAAAACTTCCATATCTACCCAATTAATGACCCCAAATGTTGATGTTCACTGTTACACGAAGTATTTATTCAATTTTACACTATTTTTGCCTCCTATACCTTTACCAAATCATGTTTTGAGAAGGATGTGATATTTGAACATAGTTGCTTGTGCTGTTATGAAACCTATTTTGAATACCACCATAAACGGTGAGGACAGAGAAGATCCATCCCCAGTTCCCTGCTCCTGTCCTGCCACGCTCAGCACACACCCAGAGCCACCCAGTACTGCCTACTCTTTGCCCATTTCCCTGCGTAAGCTCTTTATGGATGACCTGACCAGTGTGGCAGCCTGTCACACACAATTAAAGCAGGGCTGCAGACTGGTGACAACCCATGTGCTCCTCATTGCTCTGTAAACAGAAACGGGGATTTGGCTGTTCCTCATCTGTGTGGCTGCAGGCCAGGAAGCTGGCAAGAGGCTTTGGCATGCACATACACACAGACACACCTCTTTTGCTATGACTGTCACAGCATCTTGCAAAGGGGAAGGCTGCTCCTGTTTTTAGTGGGCTGTCCTTAAAAGGAATTACGCTTCTTGCTGACTAAGATAGAGAGCGGTACCTGCTTGCACTCTGACAAACTGACAGACCAAATAACAACCACGTGTGCTAATTACCTGAAGGCTCCACTGTAGCTGTAATACCGTTCTTGGCTACTTGCACTGCATTTGTTGTTTCCACTATTATCTCCAATACACAGTTGACAGAGCGTTGATGGGTAATTATCCTGCTCAGCCGAAGGCACACAGCTGGCAGAAAAAAACTCACTCACAGCTTAAAATAAAAAAAGACAAATCAGTGTAAGTGGAAGTCTCTTCACAAGGAAGGCTAGTTACGTTCTCATGAGGCTATTCAAATACCAGTTTCAGCAGGACACTAAAATCATGAATTGTAGCTGCCTTACTGAAATTCACAAATTAAAATATTTTCAAAGTACTGCTTAACTGATTATTATCACTGTATTATTACTATGTTGCTCCAGTACTAAATAATTGAAAATAAGTGCAATAAAATTCCAGACAACAATTCCTCATTTACTGCAATGACTTCCCAGAGCTGGAGGTACCACCTAGAAGGACATACATCTGTATAGACTGCATGCGTTTCAGTGACTGTCCTATTAGTGACACTGACTGCAGTCAACATCCTCAAGCAAGCATGGAGATGGACAGGTGTGGAAGCAGGTTTTTCAGCAATAGATGATAAATCAAGTTGATTCAATTTTAAAAAGACGCTTCATCTACATTTCTGAAAATCAGAATGAACATTCACAGTTTGATACACTGGAGGCCATGGCTGCTGCTGAGATGGAGCAGGGCTGGCTACAGAAACACACTGATGGGAATCTCAACATTCAACAAAGGTGAATGTAAAATCCTGCTTCAAGTAGGAATAAATCATGAAAGGCTGCAAGGCTGGAGGTCCTGGTGGGCAACACACTGAGCAAGAGTTGGCAGCATACTTTTGTGTCAATGAAGGCTAATAGAAGTTATTATAAGGAAAATTCTAATTAGATGTAAGGGAAGAAATTATTTGTACCAAAAATGGACAAAAAGTGGGGCAAGGGCCCAGAGAGGTTGTGAAATGTCCATTCTCAGAGTTACTCAAAATTTGGTTGGACATGACCCTGGACTTTGAGATCTAACTTTGAGCAGCAGGTTGCTCTAAATCATCCCTCCAACCTGAATTAAGCAGTGACTTTGTGAAAGGAACACTTTCATGTTGGAGGTAACATTCTCAACATCGCCCCTCTATTAGCCTAATCAGCAAGCTTACAGTTTCAAAATGTGACATTAAAAAGGCAACAATCCCTTACAAAATTAATACAGAGCTTTGCAATATCAAGACTGTACTTCCCTAATGAAAGTTTATAATTGAACAGTTACTGTATGTCTTCTTACCTTGAGGAATATTACAGTCTCTGGGATTAATAAAGCCTTTCTTAATTAGCACGCCAATGGGGATATTCCATCCAGCAGTTCTCCCCAGTCCTGTGTGGCAGGATTTCTTCCCTTTCAGGTCATTGATGGTGAATGCATTGGATGGATTCCGTTTCACTAATGCCACAGCATAGTATGCATTATTGTTGTCTTCAGCTTGCAGAAACAAACAGAAAAAAAACCATGATGGTTTTCCTTAAGCATTCCCACTGCTTAATGACAGTGTGCATAACCACTACACTTCTCTGGTGCCAATTTAACTGCACCAATAATCAGCCAGTCAGGAGCTCTGAATGCACACACAGAATTCTTCACTTTTACTACTCCACAATGTTGCATTCACTCATGGCCTGTATACTTGAGCCATGTAAACTAGAGAGGACATGAAAGGATTTCATAACTCTAGCTATTATGAATACATCCCTTAAAAGCAACGTTTGGGTCAGTAGTGACTTAGACCTGTTGTAAGGAGTTGTTTTTATGTGACAACTCAAAAACTTCTGTGAGTTTTGCAGCATATTGAAATTCTGCCCTACACCCACAAACACTCTTTTCATCAATGATTCTGAAACACCAACACAATTATAGTAAGAATTTGTCTTAAACTAGAATACGCTGTGTAATTTCTGTGTCTGCATGTTAAAAATGTTTTGATTTTGTGAATATTCATTTTTCCATTTAAAATACTTTTTGCAGAGTTGAAAAGACAAATACGTAACCATAAGACTCAGGACTGCAAAAGAATGAACCTTGTCCAGGAGCAGGACAGATAGAACTCTCACTAATTCACTGCAGGAACCCAGCCCTTCCTTATTTTCTCCTCTATCCATGACGTGAGGATAATAATACTCATTTCCGCTGCAAGCAGCTTTCCCAGCGGGGCCAAGGAACAGAGCCTGTGCTTTTAGAGCTGTTTTGAAAAATAACATCTCTATTTTCTGACGTTCTTACCAGAGAAGCTTTCTCCAGCAGCTGGTACAAGGCCGTATGTCTTCCCAGCAATGTAAATATCAGCTCCACCCAAAGCTACAACATCAACTTCTTTTTTCTGAAAAATAAAATAAAGTTTACAATTTTTGTGAAAAAACAGCAGAGATCTTCCCTTCCCTGCTACAATGACAACTCCAGCATCATATCCTGCATCTCAGCAGGCAGGTCTGGTAGCCAAAGAGCAATCAGAATGGCTTAGGTTGGAAGGGACCTTAAAGATCATCTAGTTTCAGCCCCTCTGCCACGGGCAGGGTTGCCTGCCACTAGATCAGGCTGCCCAGGATCCCATCCAACTTGGCCTTAAATGCCTCCAGAGATGGAGCAAAACACTTGTTACAATGGAAAAAGCACCAGGGTTCAGGCCCATTCACAGGATATGAATTGCAGATCACCTCCTTGAAATCCAGTATTGCCTGCTGATCACCTAAGAGCACATCCCTCTAATCCTACCTACCCAGCAGAGAGCAGCTTGTGTTGATTGGTTTATTGCACAAGGATCGTACAGCTTACCTGGATCATCTCCATGCATTCTTCTTTTGTCTTGGCTGAAATACACTGGATTTCTGGTTTCAAATCCTTATTCCTAAAGGCAGTCCCCATTTCACCACATTTCCAAATCTCCTCAGTGGAAACAACGCACCAGTTCAGGCTTTCTGGCAATGCTGCACGAAAATGGAAAACAAATACTACAGCTCACTTCCTTTGTAAAAGAAAAGGAGGCATACAACTGCACCTCCATCACATGTCCTATACGCTATCAAAATATTTACTTCTGTGTTTCCTTCCTATTCTCTAGCTCAGACATACACCTAATTTGGTACCACTGAGGTCTCCAGACTGGAGGTATGTCCACACTACACATCCATTGGTGTGAAGGAGCAAGAACTCTTATGAGTGCTGACCACTAAGCACAGCTGTAAGATATTGATTATTTACAGTCTGCTGTCACAAGAGTGCAGTAAAAATACACCCTGAACACAGGTTCCCTCACAGCCAGCAGTCACTAAACAGCCCTCAGAAGAGGCAAGTCCTGCAGGTGGGGGACTTTGCCACAGCACAGGGCATGTCTAGGGGCTCAGCTGCCATGATCATTAACCTGTGTTTCCAAGTGCACCAGAATGCACAGCAATTCCTTTTTACATCCTGCTGACAGCAGAGAAGATTACAACAAACACATCTGATTTTACACAGCAACATATTACTGCAATTTCCCCTTTCTAGCAGGTGAGAAATTGAGTTCTAGTTAGCAGTAGTAACCTACTAAATTCATGTCTCTCACACACTCCCAAAAGGGTAGGAAATGTCTGCAACCTGTGGCACAGCACAGGCCCATTTGCACAGGAAAGCATTCTGCAGTGTAATACCATTTCTAGGTAAAAGCCACCCTTCCTCCATACTTGAAGATCAGATTGGCATCTTGCCATAAGACTCAAAGAATCAGAAGATGACAGCAGAATAAAGATGGTCTCCATTATCCACTATCTTTGTGCACAGTTTTGAAGAGAAGAAGACAACTTACTGTTGGGGTCACAGCTCAGGGCCTGCATGACATGAAGATACTCATCACCCAACCATGCCTGGTAATTCTGAGATGTGACTGCAACGAGCTCTGTGGTGGAGTCTCTGAACATAAGGTTCTGGGCACTATAGGCTGTGGAGTCAAACATCTCAAACTGGGTGCCTACACCATTAAATCTTTGCTGTAATGTTAAAGAAAAAACACCTGTCACACACACCTCTACCTGCTGCCATACTTCTGTGATGACTTCGTTTACATGCAGGAGAAAATCTCCTGCCTACATAACACACAAAAAATTAAGGTTATCCTTATGGAAGATTTACAGGTTAGGAATTGACAGAGGAAAAGACAAGCATAAAGACAAAACAAAATCACCCCTCTTAGGTAATTTTCAGTGACCGTGAGACTTTGAGGGCAAAAATGAACTCCGCAACTCCCATCAGGGCCCTACTGATGTTGAGTGCCTCCCATACTGTTTCAGACCCCATAGAGCCAAAGGTACCCAGATATCTTCAGCTCAGCCAGTGGGTGAGTTGTAATGGATTGATAAAAAAAATCACTGTCCTACTTGTCCCTGGTTCAGGAGCTGGAAGACAGCTGTCCCATCTGTGTCCGGCCGTACAACCACAGCACGAGCTGGGACTCGGGCCAGGTGGCAGGTTCTCCACTCTGTTACATCAGCCGTGCTGCCGTTGCGGCACAGAAGCTGGAAGTCCTTGGAGCGAAGCTGCCGGGCCCAAGTAGAAAGAGTTCTTCCTGAAAACAGACAGAAAACGCTGACAAAATGGATATTAGGCAGGTACATTTCTGATATTTCTGAATGCAAGCCTGCTTCAAGCATCACATCACATGTGGAGCAGAACAGAGCTTTCCTAAGCTTCACTGCAATACTGCTGATTGTACAACGTATCCCATGCATGTATACGGCCCTTCAGACTTGTACCTCCAACAAGATACACAGAATAACACTTGTGAGACTGCACTGATCTATACCAGGGTCTGCAGTGGTACTCAGAGCATCCTTAAGATTAGATCTAATACTTCATTTTTAAAATTACTTTTCCCTGCTGTAACTGATGGTTGAACAGGCCCACAACATTAAAACACGTTATGCTCAAGGCAGAGTTCTCAAAGTGCCAGACAGGGGAGGCCACATCTTGTCGATTTCCTGCTTGGCTGGGCACAAGCAACATATTTATAACAGCCCAGGTACAAAACTACAAGTTTAGAGCTGCTTAAACTCTCCTTCCAAAAGCAGCTGAGGATCCCATCTCTCACCTTTACTGAAACTATCAAATGTTTGGGGAAAAAAAAAAAAAAAGAATCACATGGATTCATCTAACTCCTAGTGCATATATATATGCGTGCATCTACTTCCACTATTAGAGCATTTTTGCTCATTCCTCAGTTGAAGGTAAATCAAACATTTGGCATTACAGTGGCATTGCAGGCACTGTTCTGCAGAGCTGCAGCCACTGTTCAACACTTACCGTCGGTATTTTCAGGCACTGTGCTGTGCTTCACAAAAGCAACTTCTCCAGCACCTTCAGCCAAACACCTAATAAATGCAAACCCAAATACAAAGATGCATTATAAAGCACAGCTTCCACGCATCAAGCACTGCGGGCTGGCAGCCAGGGGGCTGCACGCTACGTTCCATCAGCCAGCAGACACTGACCTATTTCGTTGTGCTGAGAATTTAGCTCAAGGCAGGGACCAGTGGCTGACAGAGCATGAAGTAAACTACTGCTGTCATTTGGTGAACGTGGACAACATGTTCTGTGCTGCTTGGGACAAACACGATGACCTTCTTTGTCCAGCAGAGCTCTGTCTAATGCAGTTGCACAATCTTTTGAGGAATACGAGTAAATTATACCTCTGCTCTGTCAGTGCTGTTACTTGGGGGCTGGGAACTGCAATGCAGCACACAGACAGGAAGAAGGGAAATACAACAAAGCGTGCAAAAATGGGGGACAGAGCAAACCAGTAAGAGAATTCAGTGCAACTGAAGGGAGATAACTGAAATAGCAGGGTAGGGTGGCAGATAACTGATAAGAATTCAGTGCAATTGAGGTGAGATAACAAACAGCTGGGCAGGGTGGCCAGTCAGCTATCAACCTCCAAGGGCCATCCTGTTTTACAAGGAAAAATGCAAACCACTGAAACAAACAGACTTTTGTCAACAGATACCAAACAAAGCAACAGCAGAGGGATTGCCCTGCCCAGTACAAATGCTAGATATCTAATTTTAACAATCAGGTATTAATACCTGAAATAGTGGCTTCAGAATTACTTTTGTTCAGTCTCTAGGTTTAAATCATGGTTATTCTAACACTACAGCAGGTTTTCTAACAGGATCAACTGAAAATTCTCTTGCTGCAGTTTCCTGCAGCATTGGACATATGGCTGTGGATACAGCACAGCGATAGAAAGAGACAGAGCTGTGATTTTTACCTGAAAGCCCCACTGTAGTCATAGTACTGCTCTTGTGAATTTGCTTGGCATTTGTTCTGCCCAGATGAATCCCCTTTGCAGAGCTGACAGAGGGATGTGGGATAGCTGGCACTGTTGGCTCCAGGAATGCAGCTAGCACTGAAATAGTCACTAACAGCTAGAAGTGAAACCAGAATGAGACATCTTTAGCAGTGAATGAACAAGATCTCATTCGAGAATATCTGATCAGTACATCTCTGTAGGGATAAGCCATTCTGTTCTTAAAGTTTCCAAGTTTCAAACAAACTTGTCGTTTCCATCAGACCTGTGTTTGGTCTATTTCATCTTACAAGGAGCAGAAAAACCACCAAGAAACAAAACAGCACAGAGCCACACGTTTCTGCCCACGTGCAGATGTCCCAGGAACGTGCAGAAAGACGCTGCCGAGGAACAGATCTCTGTCCTCTCAGCTCTCACCTTTCGGGAGGTCGCATCCCATTGCTGGCAGGCGCCCGCTGTCCATGAGGTAACCCACGGGCACGTTCCAGCCTGCAGTTCTGTTGATGCCCGTGTGACACGAGCGGACGCCCTTCAAGCTGTCGATGGTGATGTTGGAGCCCTTCCTTACCACAGCCACGGCATAGTATGAAGTTCCAATCTCTGCAGCACAGGGAGAAACAGAAGCAATTAACTGGCTCCCCCACACACAGGCAGTCACACTGCTCCTGTCTTGACTGTGGGTACATGTCTCCCCCAGCACCTCTGTGGTGTGCAATGTCATAGAAAAGGCCAAAAGCAACTTGGAACAGGAGGCGAAATGAAAGATACTCAGAGAATCATCCTGAGAAGAAATTCTCTGTGGTTATAAATATATTTGGATTGGATTAACACCAAGAAAATTGATTATCCAATAGATAGTTTAATTCTCTTTTAGAGAATTTTTAGATAATTCATAGCATTAAGGTCTTAATTAACTCAACTTAAAGGTCTTAAGGTACTGTAAAGTCATTTAATCTGACTTACGTGAATCAGAAACCATTCAAGTCCATTCATCTCTGACTTGTGCTCATAAACTAACAGAGACAGCTGGCCACTGGATCATGGGGACGTTTGGTTTTGAGCACCCAGGGTCATGATGTACTTAGTGGTAGGGCTGGGCTGCTGCCCTCTGTTTCCCATTTCCCCCCATACTTAATTATGGACAGGAATACCCACACATGAACAAATGACCTAAAGTTTGGGGTCTTCAAGTAGAGGATCCCAAAATACAATAGAAACAGTAGAAATACATCAGAAAAAAAACTTGTATTAGGTGACCCAAAAGTTTTTTAGTCTGATTATACCTTGATCATATACTTCCCCAACCACAGGTTTCAGTCCATACTCCTTTCCAGCCTGGTAAATCCAACGACCATCCAGTGTCACTGCATCTGCCAAGTAGTCCTGTGTAGACACAAGGTAAGAATGCATGTTGAAGCTTAGAATTACACTGGATTTTATGTAGGCACACACAGGACCGAACACAGCCGCAAGAAGGAAAGAACTGCTATGCATCCTTCTGATCTGCTGAACCTGTGTTATCTGTTTATTGTGTACTGAGCCTAGTGCCCAGGAGACAGCACCTCCAACAAGATGAAGTATGGCCAAGAAAACAATCAGCTGACTGATACTTTGCATTTCTAAGGTGATGCCAAGCTTCTTAACCATTTTGCTTTACCTCTGGTTCAGCACTTGAGAGGATAGTAGACAGTATCCCTCGGCAGTATGCTGAGCATTGGGTAGAGTAGGGCTAGGACTAGTAGAAAGCCATTTTCTCCAGGCTGATCCACATAAAATGCGAAAAGGGATCATCTGAGAGTGTTGACAATTCACTGATGTTGGCACCTATGTCAGATTTGAAGATGCCATGTAATTTGAAATATATAACTGATTTGTCTCAAATGAAAAAAAAAATTACTGATTAGCTGAAACATTACATATCTTGAGAGCTGTTTCTCATGAATGAAAGGGGAACCAATTTCCAAGGGAATCTGTAGAAGAGTTGGTGTTGGGAGATATTTGCATTTTAAAGAGCAGATGCAGTCTGGAATAACCTGATCCAATATTCCACTGGGGAGAGTCAGGGCCCAGGACAACAATTTGGGAACCAAACAGGGTCTGTTGTTTAGCAGAGATACCTGACAGTAAGAATTGGGAGTTAGAAAGACCTGTTCAGCCTGGAGAAGAGAAGGCTGCGGGGTGACCTCATTGCAGCCTATCAATACCTGAAGGGAACCTACACCCACGAGGGGAGTAAACTCTTCAAAAGGGCTGACAACAGCAGGACTAGGGGAAATGGATCCAAGTTGAAGGAGGGAAGATTTAGGTTGGATGTTAGGGGGAAGTTCTATACAAGGAGAGTGGTTGGGCCCTGGAACGGGCTGCCCAGGGAGGTTGTGGATGCCCCGTCCTTGGATGTGTTTAAGGCCAGGTTGGACAGGGTCCTGGGCAACCTGATCTGAATGTGTGTGTTTGGTGGCCCTGCTAGGCAGGGGGGTTGGAACTACATGATCCTTGAGGTCCCTTCCAACCCGGGTGATTCTGTGATTCTGTGATTCTGTGACCTGACCCCCAGGGAAAACAAAAAGAGCCTCTGGTAGTGGTGGTGGACAGGAAGCAGAGCAGATAGAATGGGAAGGGCTGCCCACAGGAGACCACAGCTGTGTTATGGGTATATTTTTCCATTTAAGGCGGCATTTCTCAGATTGGAAAGCTGAGCCTTTGAGCTCCCATTAAACAAAAAGGCTCCTATCAACAGCTTGTGGCTAAACTTCAGCATATAAGTCACGGGACAAGAGAAAAAAATACCTATTATTGTATTTAACCTTAAGCAGTTTACAGGCTACAGACCTTAGCTCCTGTAAATACGTACAATAGCAGCTGAAGTGGAATAGCGAGAACAGTGTGAGTAGTTCTGTTCGTAGCAAAGATTTTCTCCTACATCTAACAAAAGCATGGGACAATTCCACATGATTTTTGATACAGTGCAATGGGAAGTTAATTGTTTTCAGAAGGACTTCATTTCTGTGTGTCACAATACTTGAGAATTACCTTTAGAGGTGTTTAAACACTGCTAATAACTATGGCCAAATTAAACATTATCAGGTTTCTGAGTTTAATATTTAGACATTTCTCAATTTCTAAGCATCTTCAAAGAAAAACACGTTATCCATATGCTAACACGTTCACAGAACTAAGTCCAAGTTGGGAAGTGCTATAAAACAGCATATCTTTGCCTGCTGAGCCAGTGTGTCCCACCCCCCCTTTTGGCCTCAAGGAGCAGAGTTCAGCACAGATGCAGAGTCAGGTGTTCCATGCAGCCCTACACCGAACAGAACAGCTTAAACATTTAGTAGATTATTAGTACAAGAAAGAAGAGGTGTCAAGGACAAAGCCTTGCCTATAGTAAAGATCCATTTGATCAGAAAGCTACATACTCACGCTATCCACCCGCAGGTTTCTGAGTTCAGCTAACCAAGTTTTATAACAGCAAGCACAAAGAGTACAATTTATGAACATATCCAGTCATCCTTCTCTTCCCTCACACACTGCCAGTGAAGACAATTGTGATCACCAACCTCCAACCTTCCTTGAATTTCCACTTGTTATTTCTCACTCCCTTCTAAGGAGGGAATTGTTACCCAAACACCATTTTGCAAAGCTGAGCTTTTTGTCCAAACTGAGCATGCTGAATTAATACAGTTAGGTTAGCATGCCCTCTGCTCCTTCTGCTCACTGCTTTGTCTACCTCACGTACCCTGTTTTGTATTGACATTTGGCTCGACACTCATCTGTATATACAATAATTCCCATGGGAGGCTCTGAAAAAGGAGAATTATGCAGAGTTTCTCTGAAGACAATCTACTTAAAGGCTCAGCAGCACAGCTTTAACTGCTGTCTCCATCCTACTACTCCACCCCTTCTTAAATATCTGCTAAATAAATCTAATACAATTCCCAAATCAAAGATCAGTGTTTCAGAAAGAACGTTTAAGACGTTTGCTTGTGTTCCTAATGACTGGCCATATGTGACTAGCTGTAGAGAAGACACAGTGCCATGCTGGAATTCAGTTCCATATGTACATCTCTATGTCTTAAAAAGAAACGTATATATGCTTTGATTTTCCAAAGACATGAATGTTATGAAGCTGTTTGGATGAGACACTCATTGCAGACCTCTGTACATTGTGATGTGATTTATTATTAGGCACGCAGGGCAATTAAATCACTGACATCTATCATTTACAACTCACCTTGATCATCTGGGCGCAGTTAGCAGCTGATTCTCCCTCCATGCATTCCAAAGGGGGAAGGATGCCAGCCCCGGCAAAGGCGTTACTCATGTCCTTGCACTTGGAAAGCTCTTGGTTAGACATGGTGCACCACCGCACACGTTCCAGGCTGAGAGCTGCAAACACAACGCCAAGAGAAAATCTTACTAAAAAAAAAGAGAAGTAACAGGTAACAGATTCTCAAAGGACCAACCTTTCATTTTATTCCTTCAAGAATGAAAAAAATTAAAAATCATTCAAATCATTCAAATCATAAAATCATTCAAAAGCGAGCTTTCACACTTCTGCTTTCATTCAGTTTAACAAGAATACTGGTTAGTTGGACTAGAACAGGATAGGTTCAAGTCTGATACCGAAACTTGATGGCATTTATGCCACGGAAACATAGGTACTCTGAAGGTCACAGAGGCCAGCTTGCTCTTAAAGCCTTGAAGAATATGGCATGGAGAGGACTGAGAGAGGATCTTCTCACTGCTTACAAATACCTAATGGGCAGGTGCCAAGCGCACGGGGCCAGGCTGTTTTCAGTGGTGCCCAGCAACAGAACAAGAGACAATGGGCACAAGTTGGAACATAGGAAGTTTCATACGAACACAAGGAAAAGTTTCTTTAGTTTCAGAGTTCCAGAGCACTGGGACAGGCTGCCGAGAGAGGTGCTGGATTCTCCTCTGAGATACTGAAGATCCACATGGATGCTTTCCTGTGCAATCTGCTGTAGGGAACCTGCTTTAGCAGGAGGCTGGACAGCTGATTCTGAGAGATCCTTTCCAACTCATGGGATTCTGTGAAACCTTTGTATTAACCATTGGAAGCTGTGGGTTTCTGAATTTCTGTGCCAGTGTTCTTTTTACAGAAGGGCACAAAAGTCTTTGAGAAGCTCAGGTTTGCTTTCTGGAGCCACCCTGCAGATGTGCGTGGTACCATCTGTACAAAATGGTCATTTAATATGAAGAAAAATGGGACAATTCTTTTTTTATTTTGCAGCTGCAAAGAATTCTCCGGAACAAACGCTAGGGTCAGATGTGTTGTCAAACAGATGGAGACACATTTAAGCCATACATACTGCAAAAGAATAATCTTTGAGAGCACTCAGTGCTGCAAGAGCGATAGTCTGCAACTGTCTGCTCAAGATGTCCTGGGACACACAGAATCTTTCTACTGAGCCAGAAGTTTTAAAATCGTTATTTGAAATGACAGGCTACAAAACCAAGGAGGTTGAGCAGAGACCAGTGTTGCTGGTTACAACCTGAAGACCTGTCCCTTTTCTCGTTGGACTGAATAAAAAACAACTCTAGGAGCTGAAGCCTCGCCACTAGGCTTGCTATGAAAACTAGAAAAGTAAACTTGTCTCTTCAAAGCACTCTTTCATGAGAGGTTGTTTCCACAGTCACCGAAAGGGAGAGTCAGTCCCACGAATGAACAGAAAGAAATGTACCACAGAGTCATGGAAAACAGACACCTTATGGAAACTCAACATCTGCCTCATTTATCTGAGTGAAATCTTCTCCATCTATTTCCTGGGGCAGGAAGAAAAACCCAGGTTTTCACTGATGAAGGCTTCCTCCTCACTCCTCCCAAATATAAGCAACTTGAAATTTGCCTCTCAGCATCTCAGCATATACAGATAAGTGCCATTCTTCAGCCTCAACATTCTGGCTTTAGATACAAACACACTGCAGGTAATGCATGAATCGTATGAAGAAATCACTAGGCACAGATATACGAAACATGAAGCAAAGCTCATTCAGCCCTACTGTCAACCACAGTAGGGAAACAGCAAGAATCTGTTCCTCACTGCCTACACATCACCTGAGAGATGCACTTAATCTGCCCCTTACAAAACTGCTGGACATCACCCAGGATCTGAACAGACGCTTTCCTGTAACAACAAATCCCCAAACAAGTTAACCCATCTGAAGTAAGCTCGAGCACAGACAAGGTCTGTACTCAGACTATCCTTCTGTTGCCAGACAAGAACATGTTGAAAGAGCAGGCGAGACTCTGAACCCAAGTTAATACACAATCTTGGTCCAAACTCCTTTGCTGAAAGTAACACCGCTGCATTGTGTAACATCTTCTCAAAGGATCTATTAATATTAATAACTATCAAAGGCTTTCAATAGAAATAATTAAAAAAGGAATATATTACGATAATTTCAGAACCAGAATGTTTTTGTTATTTTTTTAAATTTAATAGATTGCAGAGTCTCTTCAGAAACAGCCTCTGTACCTCTGGTGAAATTTAAAGCATTCACCACTAGAACTTGAGAGTGACAGGAGAAAGCCAGCACGTCACACATGTCCTGTTGAGTAGAATAAGGTAATTTGCTATTTATTTATTTACACACAGGAAAAAAGAAGTGTTACAGAACTGTTCACATCTGTGAAAAACGGAGAGTGTGGAACTAGAAGTAGATTTAGTGCAGTTAATAAGGCAAGACACACACGACATTCAATACATCCTTTATATTCTTTATATTTTGTGGGATTTTTTTTCCCTATTTTTTCTCTCTATTCCTTTTTTTGAGCATTTGAATTGGTTTCTCAAGTGGTACTGGTTTCCCTCTGCACTCTCAAATCACAGATTACTCAATCCCAAAGATACCATGCCAAGGCAAAATAGTTTGTGGAGATACTTACCAGCGTGAACCAAGAGAAGGAAGAAGACATTTTCAGAGATCTTCATCTTAAAAGCGCTGGGATTTGTGCCTTTTCCAGCCTTCAGAACTCCCACAGATCAGTGCTTCTGCAAGTTTGCTCTCCCCGCTGTGCTTCTTGGTGAAAATCAGCAGCATTCAAATGCAGGTGCACTTTGTTCAACAGTTTATCTTGCTTACTTTGGCACACGTCACCAAAGGGAAAAAACAGCCTACCTCTCTGCACGCTGCCCTCATGCTTGGAAAAAAAAAGTCAAGACTAGGAAATTACAAAATATTCAGTGCACCAATGAAGTTGTTACCACTTCAGCCCCACCTACAGACTTAGATCAACAGCTACACTGACTCACAGGGGTAAGGTGAGGCTGTGGAAGGGAATCTTCACCTCGAGTTGTCTGAATTCCCTCTGTGCTGCGGCTCGAGAAGTAAGAGTAGATTCAAGCTAAGCGATTCATCTACATACTGCATTTCCAAATACAGAAGGATTCTCAAAAATACTGCATGCTTACTTTAGCACAGAAAAAACAGAAACAAACCCACAGATGATTTTAGGCCATACACTGGCAGCCGACACGTGCCTCAACTCCTGTAAGCGTCCCAATTAACACCAGCAACATTTTTTGTCCAGCGTTCAGAGTAATAACTTCACTTCCCCCAAATCTGATGACCATTATTCCTCTATCACATCACCTTCATTTAAAGCCTCAGCCAATTATTTTAAAATACTACACCACCTGTATTTCTTTGGATGAAAAACACACTTGACAAATACATTGTACAATGAAGTTTATTAGCTGTTCTCCTCTTTCTAACAAATGGAATGGATAGTGTTAATAATTCTTTACAAATCAAAGCGAATGTGGTTGTGTGACTGCACTGTGACTGCCATAAGTACATCCCCCTCATCAACAATCAGCCTCAAATAAGCAATGGCAGGTTCCACATCATACGAGAAATAGAGATTTTCATTACTGAAGGTAGTTCCATGTTTTGCTACAACATATTTATAACATTCTGCACAGAAGTTTGTGCTTTGCAAATGGAAGATCTCGCACCTATGCAATCCAAGATGAACATATACAGAAAAATAAAATGCATCTTTGACTCTGAATTCTCCCTTTGGTTAAGACATGCATATTACAAAGAAAAACAGAAAGAGACAAACACCTGAAATTCCGTAGAAAAGAGGAGAACTCGCACAGATTTTTTTTTGTTACTAATAATTCCCTGGACTTTTTGCCCAGCCACCACAGCCCATTTGACTTCATGTGATTAAGGAAGGTAAATTCTAATCTGTATTTTTATTCAAAACAAAAAGCTAGGAGTAGGTGGTAAAAGAAAAATATATATTTTTATATATATATATTTATACGTGTGCGCAACTATGTAAAGAAAATAATTCCCATAGTTACAGAGTTTAGTTAAAGAAAGTTTAATATATATATATATTTATTATAACAAAATAGGCAGTTATTGTGGGTAAAATATTCATTAAAATCTGACCCCTAAGAACACACATTTTTAGGCTACGAATTGCTCTCATTGCCCCAACAACCATCTCTGCAGCTGTTTTCTGTATTAGTGCCAATGGAAATTTGGCATTCCTCTGAAAATACAAGGTTTCCTAGCACCTAGACATGTTTTAGGCTCAAAAAGTGTAATGACCATTATCTATAAACAATTTCTGTAAGACACTATAAATAGTGCTGCACGAGGAAGATTAAAAACATTACACATCTTTATCCCTAGCAATTTTATTGGCAAAAAAATGAAAAAATAGATTGTAAGAATATCCATATGAAATTATGGAAATGAATATCCCTTGAGCAGGAGTGATGGGAGTTAATGAAAACGTTAACTCAAAATTTGAAAGTTTCTCTTTAACTGCCTGGAAAGAAAAAAAAAAAAAAATAAATCTGTGAGAATAGAATTTAACTCAGAAAATAAAACCTGAAGTTGATTGCGCTGACCAAACCATGCTATTAAAGTTAAGCGTGCAAAGTTACTCATGATTTACAACTTCCTGGAATACAACTTTTCTTTCAATTGTTATGAAACTTTAAAAGAATGTCTATAAAGCTTTTTTGAAAAATCTCTGAAAGTTACTTTCCCTTAAACATTAAGGAATTTTACCAAGCAATCCCCTCCCACCCCCACCCCAAAGTAATAGCTGGTCAGGCCATTCCACTGTCATGTTTGAAAAATGGCAAACCAACAACACACAATAATACAAATTATTTAAACTAAGAGAGACATCAAATTTAAAGCGTTATGGGAACTGCAGAACGTGATGGTTAGGGTATGAACCACACTGGGAGGAACTAGAGGCAGGCTCCACTGGAAGGGCTTAAGAGTTGTCAGATGTAGTGGGTGATATCAGTTAGAAAATGGAAAGCAAAAATCCGTTTTCATAATTTTTCCTTTGCTGGAACCCAGATGTAAGGCCCAGATTGTTCCTCTATGATCTGTTTCACTTGGTTGTAGATTTCTTCCAGTGTGTCTCCTTGGATAATAGCTGCAAAACACAATGTGGCAATCCGGAGTCATCTTTCTCTGCTCCTTACAGAAACCAAGATGCTCTAAATCAAGATGTAACTTTCTCTCACAGGGCAGCAAAGGGATTTTGGATCACTGAAGGAATGGATGCCTACTGAGAACTATGATTCCTGTGCTTCTAGATGGACAGACGCTGCTGACAGTTGTTACAAGACACACAAAAGCATGGGGTTCGGTTGTGGTTTTCCTTTTAGGCTCATGTATATACAGCTGAGGAGGTTTATTTGCCTTTCCCAAATACAAGCTAGAGTTGGCCCAAGTCATTCCACAGACTCTGGTGCTCTCATTTGCATTTCCAAGAGAAAAAGACAAGACTGCACAGGGCTGTGTCCTCATGCAGTCTGTGAGCACTAACTTTGGTTTTGCAAGAGAGAACATGAACGAATGGGGTTTGTTGTACAGCAAATAGATTCAAGTTTTATATAGTTAAAATACAATTAATATTCAGACTCCTAGATACATTTTCTCCAAGGCTAAAAAAAATAATTAGAAATGAGCCACGATGTGTTTGACACATCAAACTAACATGCAGTCTGGTGAGAATGAAGGCAAAGTGAAGTTTGAGCTGTTCTTACCACACATCAGCCTGAGAAAGCATTCACCATGAGATAGCAACCTCTTTCTAATTAGGATCATCACCTCAGCATTGAGATAAGCCAAGAAACAAAGTTTAATATGAAAGATAAATATTGGAGGTGGGCCAGATGTACTTCTCTGTGCATTAATTTATTACTGCTGCTTCCAAGCCCTTGTGTCTGTGGTAGGACGAGGTGGTCCAGTTTTCAATAGTTCACATGTAATCCTCAGCACAGCAGCGCAGTGGAAAGATGTAGGAACATCCTTACATTGCAAACACCTTAATTCTCCAGATGTTTCAACCACATTCCTTGCAAAGCCCAACACCCTCAAAACACAATATGGATGTGCTCTTCCCTATGCTGTAGTGTGAAGTTTGACTCAGTTTAAGCCTAATTTGCTGATGAAGTTGATTTCAGTTACTCCACATGATGCAGTTTTTTTTTAACAGATTAGGAAATGCTCACACAATTTACTGAGGCAGGTAAGTCATATAGGCAGCAGCAGTAAATGAGATTGTAAAGTTTTGAAATATCCTAATTGCTTAAATGCCTAAAGACAAAGCAAAGACAAATCTGCCCATGGGATGTTGCTATCTGCCCCAGTCAACAAGTCTTACACTTCTTAAAAGAAACATGGTCACGGGCACTAGAGCTCTTAAAAAAGAACCTTACAATTTTCAAGTATCTTCAATTTTGGCCCTTATCTTCCTAACAGAATTGCTTAATACCTAAGACAACCTGGGTGAATACCAGCTGCTAACTAAATACTGAACATCTATTAAAATAAACTCATCAGTTTCCTAAACAACAAACTTGACATACTTGCAAATCATCTGGTAAATGACTCTGTAAGATGAAGAATTTGCAATATACGTTGGAGAGTCCGATAGCTTTCTGAGTATAGATGGTTACAGAGTTATGGGAAGAGTGGGAGAGCTTGATGTAGGGATAAACAGTGACAGCTGCAAAGCAACCGAGAGGGAGGTAGACAAAAAGGGAGACACTTAAGTTGCTCATTGGGTGGGCAGCACTCAATGTGGGGAATGAGGCAGCAGGAAGACTGAAGCAGGGAGTCTGCTGGGTCTTTCAACTTCCTCCCATATGAAGCCAGCAGGTTGAGCAAACTATTTAAGGAAGGTCTGCATTTGTAGCTCTGCCCACAAAAAATATGTGGAAGAAGGAACTGGGCAGAGGAGACATGTCACAAAGATGGAGGTGGATGGGGCAGCAAACATTAAAATATTGCCAAAGAATGTAATAGAAAAGAAAGGAGTGAGTGTCTACCTAGGATACAAATAGAAAAGGCTCGCTCCTGTCCTCCTGAAGGTCCTGACTTACTCTCCTCATTTGCATACCATGATGAAAAAGTAAGCACAGCCTGAGTGCTTGCAGTCTACCTCTTGCTGCTATAGTTAACAAACTGCATTTGTGCATGCTGCCAACCCTGCTGTCCAGTTTACAGTTATCAGTACTAACATTCTTTATTTCTCGATTTCAAAAACTGAAAGCAAATAAAAAGCTTTAGGTGTAAAATTTATCAACAAAGCAGACACCTGCATTTTTAATACCAAGGAACACAGTAGAAAGTTCCATGGTTTTAAAGAGTAAATTGAGTGACTGTTAAACTTATACAGATAATGAATTCACTGATGCAGTTGGTATCAGCATAGATGCACTTGCATAGTTTTATGCTTCAGAACAATCACAGATAAGCTTGAAAAACAGCTCAACGTTATCTCAGTGGTGAAGCAATTATCATACAGCAAGCAATAACATTTCAGCTCTGGCCAAACAAAACAAACCTGTGAAGTGTTCAGTAAACTCTTGCTCCAGTTTCATTGCCCTCTCAAATGTCTTCCTGGCTTGTTCTTCCGTTAAGCGTTTATTCATTTCCCTGAGATTGAAAACATTATACGTGTAAAGAAAATACCTCTAATCTTTGGAAATATAATTTTAAACCAGTGTGTGAGTATTAGCCTAATAAATCATTCTCCTAAATGACATATCTAAGCAGATATGTCTCTAACTGG